TGTGGCCGTATCCCCTTAAAAATCGGTCTTTCATTTTATAATCTTTAGGGATATTCATTTTCCATATAACAAAAATAAAAAATTAAATTTCAACAATAACAATAATTTTTTGCTAATGCTATTGCTCTGTACTCCGACGTTCTGTGCTACAGAGCAGAGCAGAAAAGCAACCATTTTGCTTTTGTGCTCTCTGCTATGCTACAGAGCCGAACGAAATCAGAGCAATAGCGAGAGCAGAGCAATATTTTTATTGAAATTGCTGCTATGAACGGTTGGCTTCTCCCATTAAGTGTCTCTCCCGTAGTCGTATGACAGACCAACATATTACGGAAAGAGTATTTTTAAAATCGCTGAATATCCATTTGTTATACCCGATACTCGTAGAGTAAAAGGGTATATTGTATTTGTGCAAAAGTATGCAACAGGTAGAAGGAATCGTTTCCGACCCTATAAAGTATATATATTTTTGTTCAGGATCACTAGCCGAGTCGATCTAGCCATGTCCGTCTGTCCGTATGAACGCTGAGATCTCGGAAACTATAAAAGCTAGAAGATTGGCTTTTGCATGTAGATTTTAGGAGTTCCTACGCAGCGCAAGTTTTTCTGACGCCCACAAGCCACAAGCTGTGGCCACAGTTTTGATGCTATTATGAAAATTTTAATTGATATGTATTGGTTTCGTCAATACCTATCGATTGGCCTAATAAAAGTTTGCCACGCCCAGTCTAACGCCCAAAAACCCATTAAACGCTTAAGCCTGGCTAGCGCCTTCATTTCCGCCTTTCATAGCCCGTGGTACCAATGTCTTGGGGTAGATGGCGCAACACAATAGCGCCATCTAACGGATGTCTTTGGAACAGCTGGCCAAGGTGCTCAACAGAGTCAACGTTAATTCTCGATAAGGATTTCTATTAAAGGAAATTGCGATGGTTTTCATTTGTCAATACCGAACAATATCCCAAGAACTATGCAAATCAATTCAAGTTAGCCAAATTGTTGGTCTGTGTATGTATGTAAGCATATACATATGCATGTATTTTCATTGTACACAGTTGCAATTGGCCGGCAAAGATAACTCCTTTCAAAGAAAGCTATTCGCTATACCCGTTACTCGTGTTGTGCAAACATTTACACTTTAATATACATAATACTATTTAAGAATGTATGTGTTTAGCCAATATAAGTATGTATGTTTAATATTTCTAGTCAATTTATTACAAGAAGGCATATTTATATTAAGTTGTTTAGCTGAGTAACGGGTATCTAATAGTCGAGGCACTCGACTATAGCGTTCTCTCTTGTTTTAGTGTACGTTTTATCAAAATCCGTTCAGCCGTTCCCGAGATATTTTCTATTTTAGCCTAGTATCCTGATCGACGAAAACCGTACGCCAGTCATGAGAGAGAGCGAGAGGCAAACAGCTGGCCTTCACTTTTAATGTTTTAAAATTTTTTTTCGAGTTTCAAGTGAAATATCGCTTCATCGACCCATCTTGATCTCTCACTCCAGCAAAATCAAATGAAATTAAATTAAAATGGATAAAAATGCAAGCATCAGAAGTAGACTTAAAGAAGAATTCGCGATCTCCGTTAGATTTGGAAAGGGAATTCCCAAGAAACAGAGATATGACAATTGTACGTAAACTTTTTTGGTGTGATTTTCAGCCATTTTTTTGTTTTCTATGAATATACGGTTCACGAAGGAGTGACGTAGTTAATTTTGGTATATTTGACATCGTAAAGATTAAGTTTATTGAAGTTAAAAAAAAATATATTCATTTTGATAAGTTTTAATACATATTTTTAACAAAAAACATTGAAAGGTAGTTGTTTCATAAAACTTGCCGGAGTTTGCTTAGAAGTTTATGTAGTATAGGAGTAGTTAGCCCCGGAATTCTTAAAAGTAGTAATATTTTAGAATCGATTTATTGATTTTAATTTTTTTGTAGGTACTATACCGGAATTATTCCTAAAGCTATTTGTATATCAATAGAATCTGGTCTTGTAAAACCAACAGGTTTTCTACAAGAAAAAGATTTTCAAATAATTCTCAATCTCAATTAGAGAAATTAGTTCGACCAAAAATTGTGGTTTCTTTCAAACAAATTGCTTAACCAAAAGGTGGCAAAAAAACGTGTTAATGACTTACAAAAGAATTTTAATGAATTGCAATATAAAAACTGCTAATCCAACTTCTCCTCTTTGATTGGCGAAACGCCAAAAACTAATGACGACAACCATAGTGACGAATCAAATAAAAGGATTCGCCTAGTCATATTACTACTTCTTCTCTTATAGATGAAAGTCATATCGAAGCAATATTAAAATGTGTTCGAAAAAATTCTCGGATTGGAAATTTAAGCTTAAATGTTGACGTGGAAATGGTAGATTTGAATCCACATGGGATTCGCGCAGCAAAGCCCTGTGATATCTTTATCGCAGAATTAAAAATTCCAAATTTTGAAACAACTGTTTTAGAATGCTGTAGTTCACAGAGAAACAGAGTATTGAGCATGTAATTAGAGAAAATTGTTTCACTGTTAATAATGCTTGTTCTATAAATTTTAAGTCTATTCGACTGAATAAAGATCATTATATAGCTTATGAATATTGCCAAGACCAATCTTGCAACTATTACAAGTTTCAGGGATTATATAATGGAAATGTTCGAATTTATTCAAACTCAATGCAGAGCCATAAATCGTTTTCTTGCGAAAAAGATATTAAAGGCTGCACTGCGTTTGTATTTAGAAATAAATTGGTCAATAAAGCCAACACAAACAGGGCGCTTATTGGCAATGATCAAATGATCAATAAACATTTATCTTATTATAGAAATTTAATATCAGAGGTGAACGCTAAACACGATTTTGAAAAGAATCCCTTTAAAGACGCCTTTGAAATGAAATGCAACAATTTTTCACACTTTATTCAGTTTTAATCGACTAAGCTGGAAGTGTACTTATGGAATAAGGAACACATAAGGGTTCTTCTCCATAATATCAAGAAAGACACCTTGCATATAGACGCTGTAGGGCGCGTAGTCCATCCAATGAATTTGTGAAGAAAAGGATTCTTCTCCATTTCATTAGTTGCACATATTCCAGAGTATCACTTGGTGTACCTCTGGCTCATGCCATTTCATCCAATCATTGTGCCTATGATATTGGTCGCTTTTTATGGGAGATAAAAAAGTTTTGTAAAGACAATAAATTCAAGCTGCCAATATGCAAACGCATTATAACTGATGTTAGTTTTGCTATTATTCAAGCAATTTTAAATGAATTTAATCATTTAGACATTGTTCAATACAATAGTATGTTCTTCCGCTTTTTATATGGAGAAAGAGCGTTAAATTTTGTACAAGTCATTATGCAAAAATAATGTGTGCGGATATTGAGTTAGTTTTGCTATTATTCAAGCAATTTTAAATGAATTTAATCATTTAGACATTGTTCAATACAATAGTATGTTCTTCCGCTTTTTATAAGGAGAAAGAGCGTTAAATTTTGTACAAGTCATTATGCAAAAATAATATGTGCGGATATTGACCGAACCGTAGGACTGGCAAATATTGAGTTAGGAGATTTTATTAGAAAAGCTCTTGGTCTCGGATATAATATTATTACAATTAAGAAGTTAGAGGAATGGTTTTGCAACGTAATAACCATTCTTCTTTCTCCATTTGTAAATAGTTATGTTATAGATTCTATATCCTATTTATCAGGTGATACCTTACCCACTTTTGATTTGAGCCAGCATGAAGCGTCTGCTAAGCCAAATTTTAGAGACCGCGAGGATGCATTGAATACGATTGCAGGCCATAGTGAATTTAAAAAACGATTCACTTTTATTGCTCTGAAATCACCGAAATGTTATCAAAGCAAACCGAAACTGTCCAAATTAACATATATCATCATCCTGAAATGGTAGATGTTATTTTGGGGAAATATATTGTTTTTGCTCCTTTTTGAACTAATGTTATGGGAATTTTTATTGACGAGAGCAATAAAAGGCACAGCAACGGTCCAATTGAATCATTTTTTAAGACATTGAACCACAGGGATTAAAGTTAGGAAGGTTCATCCGAAAATTGGACGATCTTTCAAAATCCGTGGTTCGGCAAGTTGAGCTTGAGCGTCCGGAATATTCTTGTTCCCCTCTTACTCATGGTAAGTTAATAAAAGCAAGGGCGAAAAAACCTGCCTTGAAAAAAAAATCTGTTTTAAGGGGTTACATCCACTTAGGATTTTGAAAAAATCGATTTTTTTTATTGCATTTTCGTAAAGTATATTTATTTAAGAGTACCCTGAAAAAATTTCAGGGTGATCCGATGAATATTTCCCAAGTTATATTAAAATTTACATGCATGTGTCGGAGCGACTGAAAGCGGACCGTCGAAATTGAATGTTTTGATGCAAGAACCAGACGCAGCCCATTTGATTAGTATTGTCTATGCCTGCTTTTTTGCATTAAGTATTCAACTGTTTAGTGTAGCAATGAGCTTGTAAGTGACATTTGAATATTTTTATTTTCACGGCACGAAAATGAAAATTTCAAGAGAAAAGAGAGCAATTTCCAAAATTCAAAAATCAAGACCCAAAAAACGAAAAAATGTTTTCAATCCGAAAAAAAGTTGAAACAGAGGAAAGTAGTTTCAGTACTTCTGCCAAAAAGCTCAAATTGCAAGAAGAAATCTCAGTTCCGCTTAATTCATTTATTGAATACAGAATTTTAAATTTTATTACAGTGTTTGCGGCAATTTCTGAATTCGTAAAGTGCAAAGTTTGTGATGGAATAATTAAGTTTGAAACGGCGTCTGAACGAGGACTTGGTTTTAAAATTGTTTTATTGTGTGATAAGTGTGCAGCTCGTAGTATAAATTCTAGTCTTTTTGTCAAACATTCTTATGAGATAAATAGACGTTTTTTATTTGTCATGAGAGTTCTCGGATTAGGATTAGCAGGCGCGAAAAAATTTTGTGGATTGATGGACATGCCGGCTTTTTTAACGCAAACTACTTACGATTTGATTATTGATAGTGTGTATTCCTGTGTCAAAAATGCCGCTGAAAAACTTTTTCAAAAAGCTTGTACTGGAAGAAAAAATTGACTTCTGAACACGAAGGTGATGCAAATTCTACAGAATTCTCTATATCTGGCGATGGAACCTGGAAAAAACGAGGATATACTTCATTGTACGGCGTGACATCTCTAATTGGATACTATTCTGGGAAAATCATTGATGTTTTAGTGAAAAGTTCCTACTGTAAACTGTGTGAAACTTGGAGCAAGAAACTAAACAGTGAGGAGTATAATGAATGGTATGAAGATCATGTGGAAAATTGCAGTGCCAATCATTCAGGTTCTTCTGGAAAAATGGAGGTAGATTCTGTAGTCGAAATGTTTAAGCGATCATGGGAAAAGTTTGGAGTGATTTACAAAAATTACATAGGAGACGGCGACTCTAAAACGTACACGGGGATTTTAAAGGCTGCACCTTACGGTAAAAAAGTAGTGACAAAAAAGAATGTATTGGACACGTTCAAAAAAGAATGGTCACGCGGCTCCGAAATTGTGTAAAGACAAATGTGGAAACAGTGAAAAAAAATGGGAAAAATCGTAAAAAAAAAAGTCTTGGCGGAAGAGGCAAGCTCACAGGCAAAATGATTGATAAATTGACAGTTTATTATGGCTTAGCAATTAGGAGAAATTGTCATTCAGTCGAAAATATGCGTAATTCCATATGGGCCACATATTATCACTACTGCTCAACGGATAAAAATCCTAAACACGAGAATTGTCCAACCGGACCGGAGTCATGGTGCTCTTGGCAGCGGGCAGCAGCTGCGAATGAGTTATCATCTTTTAAGCATGATTATCAGACATTTACAGAGGATGTTGCGAAGGCTCTGCACCTCATTTACACTGATCTCAGCAAGAAGGAATTACTGGAAAGATGTCTGGGTGGTTTCACCCAAAACAACAACGAGAGCTACAACCAATTAATTTGGAAAATCTCTCCAAAAATAATCCCGTCTGGCTCGAAAATTGTTGAAATGGCTACATGCGTAGCTGCTGGGGTGTTCAACGAAGGTGCATCATCTTTATTATATTTTATGAATGCCACTGGAATTTCTCTTGGACCCAATGCGGACTCATATGCTGAAAGAGAGGATTCACTACGAGTGTCAATCGCCGACCGAAGATCTCAGGAGAGTACACGTGAAGGCCGAATGGCTCGTAGACAACACCAAATAGAAGTTTTAGAGGGGGCTGAAGGTGAAGAAGCTACATTATATGGACCCGGAATAGACGATTCGATGTAAGTTGAAAAAAAAATTTTTTATTATGAGTAAAGTGGTTTTGAAACTTTAAATGCGTTTTTCTCAAAACTATGATTTTAAAGTCGGTGAGCAAGATTTCTCGAAAACGGCTGAACCGATCGGTCTCAGATTTTAACACAAGCTTCTTAATAATATTGTTTAGTGATTAATCGAAGGTTTTTTTTTACAATAAATATTTTTCATTTTATAAACAATTGATGTCGTGAATTCTTGTCAAAAATTGATACTTTCGCTTTCTGAAGGCGCCATTATGTTAAAAATTATTTTTTTGTCTATTCCTTCGATTAATCACAAGATAATGTATTATATTAACGAAAAAATCATTGATTTTTAATTTTAGATAATCCAGTTGAGAAATAACGTGCTCACCGCTAGCTGTCTCGATTCGAAAGAGCTCCAGAAAATATTTTATACAAGGTGTAAAAAAAATAATTTTTATAAATAAACCATGCAAAAATAAAGTTAAAAGTACTTTTTATATGTGCATTAATTTGTGAACTAAAATACTCCATAGTTTTACCAGAAAAAATTCATAAAATATCGACTTTTTTCTGCTGTCTAACTGGATGTAACCCCTTAAAAGAAATTTCCAATAAAAATCAATAGAAGAAAGTTGGCAAAAGAAAGGAATAAAGAAGCTTAAAGTAGGGTTATTTAAAAGTGATTTTTCCGGACTAAATAAAGCTCGTGAAGAACATATAAAAGCCCGTCACTTAAAAGAGTCGAATGAATTAATTCAATTGGATCATTTTTACGTACTCGAAAAAAAGACAATATAAAATGGAAGATAAATTCAAAAAGGTTATCTTTCAACTTTTTCACATAAATAATAGCATTACGAAAGATGTTAGATGAGTCTGTACATGCGTCAAATAGTTCCCGTTTTATATTTCATATCGAACTAAATGATTTACTTACACTGCAGAATAAAAAGTGGCTGTCTATCTTTATCTTAGACGCCGCTTTAACTGCTTTAGTTTTTTATAATGAAGATGTGACAACAATAAATGTTCCATATCAAATTAATCATTATGGATTTCAAAATTAAGAAATAATTACATCAGCCTATGAAGACGGAGACCGCCATTTAATTGTTCCTCATTGCTACATTGATTTTTTTTGTGTTTTATTTGTAGACATTTTTAAGCAACAATTTATATTCTTAGATCCTTTTTGGAAACACCAAAAATGCGAAAAAGTTTATAAATTATTATAATAATATACTAAGTCGCATAAGTAAAAGAAGATTTACTAGCGTGTCGATAGAGCACGATATTCAAACTGATACGTTTAATTGTGGCATTTTTGTTTTGCAATTTGCTAAATGCTACATGGAGGACATTCCAATAACAAATTTACCCACAGTTTCTTTGGAATTAAAATTTGTTAAGTGAATGGCCAGCATTTCCAAGGCACTTACCACTGGGAATAATCGATAGTTATTCGATATTTAGACAATTGGCGCAATTTCCCCAGCCCTCGTTTCACTTTCCGGGACTTGCAACTATAAAATGATGTATTTCAAAAATTTCGATATTTTTACAAACGTTTGTTTATTTTTAAAAATTGTAATTAAACTAGCCAGAAATTACCAATGTTAAGATAGTCCCAAAAAAATTGTAAAATTGTCAATATTAAACGAAATTTTCATACCCTATAAAATGATGTAATTCAAAAAGGTTTGTTTACTTTATGCCGTTTTTCAAAAGGTCTGGCAACACCATCTCGCTAATAGTGTGGTCTCGCACTTCAGAGAGAACGAACACTTTGGATTCTAGGAATAGGTCGGCATTCTAGGAATTATGGAATCAGCTTCGATACCTGCCAAATAAGACAACGGTTTCTATGTATAAATCAAGTAGTTTCAAAAACATTTATTTATTTATATTTTTTATGTATGTATATTTTTTAACAAAATATTAATTGGTTCTTTAGCTGATGCTGTAATATGAAAAAGTAATTCCGAGACATGTATTTATTTATATTTAATTTTTATTTATATTTTTACAAAATATTATTTTGAGCTGGGGCCCGGCGATTCATCATCCAGCCTCAAATTTTTGACGGAATCTTCCACGTTTTGGCGGGGTTTAGCCCTCCAGTTGCCACGGCGGCGTGGGCGAGGATCTTCTTCTTCGCTCTCTGAAGAGGACCTTTCAATTTTCCTCTTCAGAGCGCACCCAAAATTAAATTTGAAGTTCTGCTAAAAAAATACTAATTATTAATATCAATGTTTATATATGTTATGGTTTGTGCTTGTATGGCAGCTTCTGGCGGGGCAACCTCGTTTTTTTTTAAGTTATCATGGATGGCCCAGATGTACCTACAGATTTTAAAGGAAAATCTGCTCCAAACTGCTGAAAAACTGGGCATACGCGATCGATTTCGATTTTACCAGGACAACGATCCGAAGCATTCATCAGGAATTGTGAAGGTTTAACTTGTCTGGAACTGCCCTCATGTCGTCATAACACCAGCACAGTCTCCAGATTTAAATATGAGTGAAAATGTATGGGAAATATTGGACATCGCTATAAGGAAGAGAAAGATTTCGAACAAAAACGACATGAAAAGTGTTCTTATGGAAGAATGGCCAAATATTCCAGTGGAAACCACTAAATTCAAAAAGGAGGACATACAAAATATTAGCTATTAAATTTAAAAAAAGGTTAAGTTGACTGAACTGCACGAAATAAGCTGCGTCATGAAAAAAGCCTGCAAATGCAAATTTGTTTTTATTTAATAAGTGTTTTGTTTTTATGATTAAGGAAATCGTTTTAATTTAATAAACAAGTTAATATACCCTTTTAAAATACTGCATTTAAACTTTTCAGTTATCTTTCTTAGTTTAAGCCTAGTATCCAGATCGACAAACGATTACGCTAGCGTAAAAACTTTAATCTTTCTAGTGTGACCAAAATTTGGACGGTTCATCAGATTTAAGCGTGCTACGGTCGTACTGTCAATCAGCTGGGTTTGTTGACAAGCAGTTAAAATTCAAATATCGTATTTGCGGGAAAGAGCCTTTAAAAGATACTATCAAATACCTTGGTAAGAAAAGACTACCGCTGTACAAAGAAATTAAAAAACAATACAATTTAAAATTAACAGTTCTTTTTTTAATTTACTGATAATTATTTGCTAATTTAAAGTTCATAGCTGCACTTTTATTGTGTTTTTTCGTACATTCTGGACCTAAAAAACATTTTGCTCTGACAAGAGGCACCCCAGATAGTATTAATGTTATTTTGTCCTCACATGTTAACACCTGCAATCGACTTTTGTGAGTTTTTTGAGTTTTTCACTCCATTTCTTATAATGTTCAGTGAGAAGCGCACGCCAAAATATAAAATTTTTTAATCTTTTCCGCTAGGGTTCACCCAAAGTTAATTTCCGCAGACTGGCAACGCTATGGAATTTTCTGGTATTTTTTTCGTCGATCAGGAGACCGACGTGAAAAAAAGGCCCGACGAAAAGTGAACGCCAGCTGTTTGCCTCTCGCTCTCTCTCATGACTGGCGTACGGTTTTCGTCGATCTGGATACTAGGCTTAAGCCTAGATAAACGATTACGCTAGCGAAAAAACTTTAATCTTTCCAGTGTGACCAAAAGTTTGAGAGTTCATCAGAGTTAAGCGTGCTACGGTCGTACTGTCAATCAGCTGGGTTTGTTGACAAGCAGTTAAAATTCAAATATCGTATTTGCGGGAAAGAGCCTTTAAAAGATATTATCAAATACCTTGGCAAGAAAAGTCTACCGCTGTACAAAGAAATTAAAAAACAATACAATTTAAAATTAACAGTTCTTTTTTTAATTTACTGATAATTATTTGCTAATTTAAAGTTCATAGCTGCACTTTTATTGTGTTTTTTCGTACATTCTGGACCTAAAAAACATTTTGCTCTGACAAGAGGCACCCCAGATAGTATTAATGTTATTTTGTCCTCACATGTAAACACCTGCAATCGACTTTTGTGAGTTTTTTGAGTTTTTCACTCCATTTCTTATAATGTTCAGTGAGAAGCGCACGCCAAAATATTAAATTTTTTAATCTTTTCGCTAGGGTTCACCCAAAGTTTATTTCCGCAGACTGGCAACGCTATGAAATTTTCTGGTATTTTTTTCGTCGATCAGGAGACCGAAGTTAAAAAAAAGCCCGACGAAAAGTGAACGCCAGCTGTTTGCCTCTCGCTCCCTCTCATGACTGGCGTACGGTTTACGTCGAAGTGGATACTAGGCTTTAAGCAAAAAGTCGATATATTATCGAATTTAAGTGTCTCCATAAAGCCTAGTATCCAGATCGACGAAAATCGTACGCCAGTCATGAGAGAGAGCGAGAGGCAAACATTTATTTTTTTTTTATATTTTTGCATTTAAAAGTTTTGCAGTGCGTGTCCAAATAGCGAGAAAATAAAAAAATAAAAGCAGCCCCCATGTTCCACATTCCACCGTTCCGCCATCGACGCTAAGTCACCGATGCTAATTTGACGCACATATCGGCGACCATATATAAACGCGTGTCAACCTAAGAGTCATCTGGCCACACCAAAAACCTGGCATCCTGATAACAAGTTATCGGCCAGGAACGGGTATAAAAGGAGGCACCCAGACCAGAAAGGGTCATTCGTTCTCCGGCAGTCGATCCATAGAGTAAGAAACTCTGCCCGCGCTCTCGAGTGACTTTGCCAGTGATGCCACGTAGGGGAAAAACGAAAAAAAAGAGCTTTTCATTTGTTCGAATCGAGCTTGAATCGATGCCCATGGTGAATTCGTATTGCTGCACTGGTCGCTCTTATTCCTAAGGATTGGTGCGAAAACTCCCCATAATATTGCTTGTGCTTCGCACATGTTAGAAGTGGTGAGAAATCGAAGTTAGAAGAAGTTAGCTTCGAACATGGCTCTCAGCAGAGCTTTGGCAGAGGCCCGGGCAGAGCAAATGAAACCTCTATATAGTTTCTTACTCTATGATCGAAGAGGACATTAAGTTTAGTGTTCTGGAAAGTTTTTTTTGGGTTCAGTAGTTGCTAATGGTAAGGTCATTGATAGGGTTGTTGGATTTTGAAGAAATATCGTATGGATGATATTTGCTGTTAAAAAATATCACTTGATGATATTAAAAAATATCCTAAAAAAATATCGATATATCGAGTATTTTTATATTTTATGATGTTCAGCTAAATTTAAAAAAAAACGTTTCCTGTTGCTGTAAATTTGGGTCTTTTATAGGCCTAAGAATATGTATAGTCAAAAAAACGTTATAATATTTGATTTTATCAATTATGAACTGCAAATAAGAGCAATTTGAGACACAAAGGACAATTTTTATTTAAAAAGTGAATAGAAACCATCGAAGTTAAATAAACTAATATTGTACCCACTCTCTAGCAAATCTTATTTATGTTCTTTGA